AGTGATCAAAAAAGAAATCGGTGACAAAAAAGGAGAAGCAGCTGCTTACGGAAATGTAGGAAATGTGTTCCAATCTCTTGGTGAATATACCAAGGCTAAAGAATACCTTCAGAACGCACTAGTTATCAGGAAAGAAATTGGTGACAAACAAGGAGAAGCATCAGATTACGGAAATCTAGGAGCGGTGTTTTCATCTGTTGGTCAATATTCCAAGGCTGAAGAATACCTTCAGAAAGCACTAGTGATCAACAAAGAAATCGGTGACAAAAAAGGAGAAGCATCTGCTTACGGAAATCTAGGAACTGTGTTCCAATCTGTTGGTCAATATACCAGGGCTAAAGATTACCTTCAGAAAGCACTACTGATCAAACAAGAAATCGGTGACAAAAAAGGAGAAGCATCTGCTTACGGAAATCTAGGAACTGTGTTTCTATCTGTTGGTGAATATACCAAAGCAGAAGAATACCTTCGAAAAGGATTAGTGATCAGGAAAGAAATCGGTGACAAAGAAGGAGAAGCAGCAGATTACGGAAATCTAGGAACTGTGCTTTTATCTGTTGGTCAATATACCAAAGCAGAAGAATACCTTCAAAAAGCACTAGTAATCCAAAAAGAAATCGGTGACAAAAAAGGAGAAGCATCGGCTTTCGGAAATTTAGGAAGTGTGTTCCAATCTGTTGGTCAATATACCAAGGCTGAAGAATACCTTCAGAAAGCACTAGTGATCAGGAAAGAAATCGGTGACAAACAAGGAGAAGCATCAGATTACGGAAATCTAGGAAGTGTATTCCAATCTGTTGGTCAATATACCAAGGCCGAAGAATACCTTCAGAATGCACTAGTGATCAGGAAAGAAATCGGTGACAAAGAAGGAGAAGCATCAGATTACGGAAATCTAGGAACTGTGTTTGAATCTGTTGGTCAATATACCAAGGCCGAAGAATACCTTCAGAAAGCACTAGTGATCAGGAAAGAAATCGGTTGCAAAGAAGGAGAAGCATCAGATTACGGAAATCTAGGAACTGTGTTCAAATCTGTTGGTCAATATGCCAAGGCTGAAGAATACCTTCAGAAAGCACTAGTCATCAGGAAAGAAATCGGTGACAGAAAAGGAGAAGCATCTGCTTACGGAAATCTAGGAACTGTGTTCCACTCTCTTGGTGAATATACCACGGCTAAAGAATACCTTCAGAAAGCACTAGTGATCAAACAAGAAATCGGGGACAAAAAAGGAGAAGCATCAGATTATGGAAATCTAGGAGCGGTGTTTTCATCTGTTGGTCAATATACCAAAGCAATAGAATACCTTCAAAAAGCACTACTGATCAGCAAAGAAATCGGTGACAGAAAAGGAGAAGCATCAGATTACGGAAATCTAGGAAAGGTGTTCCAATCTGTTGGTCAATATACCAAGGCTAAAGAATACCTTCAGGAAGCACTAGTGATCAAACAAGAAATCGGTGACAAAGAAGGAGAAGCATTTGCTTTCGGAAATTTAGGAACTTTGTTTGAATCTGTTGGTCAATATACCAAGGCTGAAGAATACCTTCAGAAAGCACTAGTGATCAGGAAAGAAATCGGTGACAAAGAAGGAGAAGCATCAGATTACGGAAATCTAGGAACTGTATTTTTATCTGTTGGTCAATATTCCAAGGCTGAAGAATACCTTCAAAAAGCACTAGTGATCAAAAAAGAAACCGGTGATAAAAAAGGAGAAGCATCTGCTTTGGGAAATCTAGGAACTGTGTTTTCATCTGTTGGTCACTATACCAAGGCTGAAGAATGCCTTCAGAAAGCACTAGTGATCAGGAAAATAATCGGTGACAAAAATGGAGAAGCATCAGATTACATAAATCTAGGAGCGGTGTTTTCATCTGTTGGTCAATATACCAAAGCAGAAGAATACCTTCAAAAAGCACTGACGATCACAGAAGAAATCGGTGACAAACGTGGTGTTGGAGCTTCATACTTAAATCTGGGAAAACTTTGCCCAGAATTTCAGCTTAATGCGAAGAGTCAAGAATTTGTTAATAAAGCACTTGAGATAAGTTACGAAATAGGGGACATTGAAATGCAGTTTAACAGCCACCTTACCATTGCTCTGCACGCGTTAGTGGCAGGAGGAAGCATAACTGAACTTCTTCGAAATCTGTATGCAAGCATTCAGAAGTGCGAAGAAATGCATGAATTTTTAATGGTGAAAGATCAATTCAAAATTTCTTTTTTCGATGAGCATGTGTCCCCTTACCTTCTTCTTTGTAGGTTATTGATTGCTACAGGCAGTTATTATGAAGCTCTTTACGTTGCCGAGCTTGGACGGTCCAGAGCACTTGCAGACATCCTTTCAGATATGTACTCTGTTGAAAAAGAGGTATCAGTCAACCCACAGTCATGGATTGGTATTGAGAATATCATGGACAAAAATGCACTTAGTTCTTGTCTTTATGTTTCCTGCTTTGGTGATAATATGTATTTTTGGATTCTTAAGCCAAACAAAATCGTGGTGTTTCGAAAAACGAAACTGAAAGAAAGTGCAGATCAAGTGTTTGGAAATGAAGAAATTGGTGGTTCTCGAGAATTGCGTCAAGAACAATGCGAAGATCGATCATTCTTCTCTTCATACGAAAGCTCCTTGGCTAAATGCCGTGCACCTCAGGAGGGCGGCACTGCAACTGAGGATAAAGACACTCCATCCCTGGGTGATTGTTACAATATGATCGTTACTCCTGTAGTTGATTTACTCGAGGAACCAGAAATCATCATTATTCCTGATCCCTTGTTGTACAGAATTCCTTTTGCTGCATTAACGAATGACAAAGTTAAGGGAGAAACAAAGTACCTATCAGACACACATAGGATTCGTATTGTCCCTTCCTTGACGACTCTAAAGTCGATTCAGCTCAGTTCTTCCGACTACCATAGTGAAACAGGTGCGCTGATCGTAGGAGACCCAGAAGTTCGTGATGTATACTACCAAGGAGAACTTCTGGAATTGGACCCATTGCCTTGGGCAAGAAAGGAAGCACAGATGATTGGGCGACTGGTTGGTGTTAAGGCTTTGGTGGGAAATGATGCAAGAAAGCAGACAGTCCTAGAAAAAATGCCGTCAGTAAGTCTCATTCACCTTGCTGCTCATGGTGATGCCGAACGTGGAGAAATCGCTCTTTCTCCTATAAACTCGTGCGGTACTCGTCACGAAGAAGACTACTTATTGACAATGGCTGAAATTTCACAAGTTCGACTGACAGCCAAGCTGGTTGTTCTCAGCTGCTGTCACAGTGCAAGTGGCCAGATTAGAGCTGAGGGAGTTGTTGGAATCGCCCGAGCATTTCTAGCATCAGGTGCACGCGCCGTGCTGGCAACACTGTGGGCTATAGATGACGAAGCTACTATGCAGTTCATGAATCGTTTTTACGAGCTCCTTGTTCATGGTGAAAGTGCAAGTGAATCGCTTCACCGGGCCATGAAGTGGATGAGGGAGAATAACTTTTCTGACGTCAGGCTGTGGGCGCCGTTTATGCTGATTGGAGATGATGTGTCATTTAAAGGTTTGTATTTGATACCGTTTTAGGTTTTTTTAGCTATTTTGAGTCAAAATCTGTGAAATTGCATGGTTTTGAAAATTGTATTACGGGAGTTAATCACCCTTTTTATCATCGTTTTTGAAGAACATTTGGTAAAGCATGCTCTGATCTGGGGCCCGTTTCTTGAAAGGCCCGGCAACCTCTCGGGTCCGAAGGCAAATTTTGAAATCAAAACCTGTTTAATAATAGTAGCACAGTTCCTAGCTAACAAAGCGGCCAGTTTGGCTTTATTACTCTTTTGAGTAACCGATAGTTTCATTGTATCGATTTCAAAATTAATGAAACTTTGATCTTGAATGCAAAGACGGCAAACATAAAACAGCTTTTTGGGCCCGAAAACTTTTCGGGACTTGGCTTTTAAGAAACGGGCCCCTGTTTACACAATAACTAATTAAAATAGACTAGATCAAATGAAAATATAGAAAGCGACAAAGTTTTTAAGTCATAGAGAAGAAAAGTAAGTGTAAAACATACGTTTTCTTGAGGGTGTACCTGACAAAAGGAAAGCGTTGCATGCATTTTAAAACGATTCTTCCGGGGGAACCAGAACAAGCTCAGTGCGACAGAATAATTAAAAAGCGGGCGGGAGTTAACAAGCAGAGTGGAAGATCCCGTGGGTACTTAATCTAGCCCAGGAAGCTTAAGGAGCATTTGATTTCGTTACTTCTATTTTATGCAGATATTTTTCGGGCAAATGCGCAAAGAGCAACAACTCCTTTGTCGTTTTCATGTGTTTAACGGAATGATTTTTGTCATCAACCGCATCTTATTTTGCTAGTTCCGCGGGGAAGTCGTAAAGTCAGTTTGCCCCCAAGAAAACAATTAAGTCGACTCATCTGAATTTTACTCGGTAAAGTATTTACGGGGAAAAGGCCAGTGAGGCTGTCAGTTTTATAGAATAATAAGAGGATATAGAGGAAAATACTAACACAAAGACACCAATATAGTGCAAAAATGTATCAGTCATCCCGAATCAATGATAAAAAAATGCTTTTTCGGGAAATAAAAAAAAGACATTGTTTCCATGAGTTTTAGCTGTTCATGTACTCACGGGCGTGCGTGTGTATATGGACGCTACGCTCCTGGATATCAATCTCCTGCTTCATGATATATGATAAGTATGCAAATGTAAAACAGAGGAAATTATAATCAAATAGCAATTAAGATGAAAGTGGTCCGGTGGGCCTTTTAATTCTAGCGTATAAATGCGGTTTCCTGCGAGTGTAAAAGTCTTGCGACCCGTTTGACTTTTGAAAAAAATCTGTGTTAAAGACATTCAAGTACAAAATACGTGTAATGAGCAACAGAAAAAGACGCATGTTGATCGATGGCTAAAACAAATCGTGCAAGAATACACGCGAAAGTGAACCGTCATGATCAGTTTTTTCTATTTGCAGGTGCCTTTGATAAGAGCAGTTCTGCAGATGACGAAGGAGCTCCGGAAACAAAGAACCTGTGAACCGAGTAACCAAATCATTTAACTTGACAAAAATGTTTAGTAAGTGCTTCTCTTTCAACTGCTATCACAGCTGTACACATGTGTATATACCTGGGATCCTCTGTGAAACCGCAAAGTGGTAAAAATCTTACTTTTCCGTGCAGGCGTCCCCAAATTTCTGATTGGTGAAGCCACAATGAGTAACTTATTGCCGTGCATTAGCGAGAAACATGGTCTGGCTGTATAACTGACTAACTTTCTTTAATAGTATCTTACATGATCTTTATCATAACAGCTTTTAAATAGGGTTTATTAATTGTTAGAGATTTTCTCGCTGGTATTTAATTTCTATTTGGTTGGCAAAAGAGAGTAAGTTTTTTTTATCATGAAGTTTACAAGAATAAATGTAAAATCTCATAAATAATGGAGAAACAACCATAATGCAGGCATCGAAGGAAATGCTGTCTATTGGAAACAGAATCTTTTAAACAGTCACAAGCGAGGTTAAAGTCTTTTTTAAATCTGTGAATATATAAATAGTGATGGGTAACAATTCAACGTATTTTCATTCTTATTTAGGAAATGTTATAGGGTAGATCTCGTGTTTCCTTTTCATGATGTATTTTATTGTTATTTTATTGTATATTGTTAAACAGCATGGATAATCCAGTATTGTATTGTATAAGCTTTCGAAGATCAAAACTAGGCCAGTCAAGAAGCAACTTGACTGTTTGATGAGGCAGGACCAAAAAGTTTTGTTCATTTCATTTGTCGTGTTTGCTGAGCAACGTACAACAGTAAAATAGTACGTTTTACTTGATTATGACATCCTTCTCGACTTGACGGTTTCAGATAAACAAAGTAAATTCACCCATGGAGAGGAGCGCTCCCTACTTGTGTTGGTCACGTATTGATAATTGACCGTCTCGGTTTTGTTAGGAAGATGGTGGGTAGAGGCGTTCCATTTTCCCTTGCGCACTCTTCTTTTCCCTTTCCCTTTTATTGCGCCTTCCACGACGGCTACACTTCGGTTTGATCTCATTTCAAATAGAGATCTAGGCTTAGGTAATGAACGCAAGTCCTCTGTGGAATACATGTATGGAGCTCTGTGCGTCCATAATTTTTTTATTTGCCCAAGATCATTCCTTAACAGTAGTGATAGTATTGAGCGGAAAGTTTTAGAAGCCTTTCTAGGCTTAATTAGAAGACTACCATTACTATATGATAAGATTGAACAACTCAGACGATGTATGAAATTGTTCTCCCCCGTTTTTGTTTGGGGCGAGTTCCAGTCTTTTGCCCTGCCCTTTCGAACTTGAAGTAACTCATGGGACTGACAAGTTGTTACCTTTTAACAGAAAGTTTGTTTTATTTCGTGTCTAAGCCTGATATACTTTTGTATACATTTTTACACAAAGGATTTTATACCTTTACTATTGGTAACTAAAGGTTGATTTCCACTGAAGCGTTTTTGGCTACGCACGTTAACGCACGTAAATTTTAATCACGTAAATAATAAAAGTAGAGGCAAGATAAAAAAGTGCTGAACTTAAACGAGAAGTTGAGCGAGGTTCAACTTTTAAGCTTACGAGCGACTATTCCTGCATTGCCTCTAGTTTTTTGGGAACGTAAATTTTACGCACGTACGCACGTAAAAATTACGCGACAGTGGAAATCAACCCTAAGAGACGAGTTTTTTCAAAATTCCCTACTCCAGAAACTATAAGGGGAATGGGTACAAGCTTTCGGTGCAACTATGTCTGGGATCGTTTGGGTGGATGGTATCCAAGGCAACCATTAACCAATCATAAGTAACGCCTGTCCACGCAAACGATCCCAGAAGTCGTTGCGCCGAAAGCTTATACCCAATCTCCCTGTAGTTTCTGGAGTAGGGAATAAAGGGAACCTAGGCCAATTCCGAGTTGCCTCAAGTGAGACATCTTAATTATGAAATAAATTTTTTTTCAAAAAACCCCCTCATTTTAAGGGAAGGTTTCTTCATTTGGCCTTATTTTGAAAGCGAGGATTTTGGAACTCGGAAATGGCCTTGTAAAGGACCGGTATATGTCATATTTTGTAACCAAAATGTGTTTATTAACAATATTTTATCCGTGCCTTAAAACTTTTTGCAATAAAGAAACGTTAGTTTTTAACCTGTCTAATCTCTATTCAAATACCCGACTCTGAAGCTTTATAATATGCACATTTTATGAATGTCTTTAAATTCTGTCCAAACATAATGTACAATACTGGTGAAGACGACAGAACGATGTTTTTCGCAAAGGACGTTAATTTTTTGATAAATAATACAACTTTAAAAGTAAATATACAAACCCGCGTCCAGCAAGGATGCGCCCTTTACGAAGGCAGTCAACAGGTGCGCCCAGGCGTCGGCCGATTAAGAAAGGCTTGTTCTTAATGCTTGCGCAAAACAAAGTGCCCATTGAAAGGGCTTGGGAGAGGGGGGGGGGGGGGGGG